ATATAAGATCACTAGAAATACAGGAATTTGAACTGGAATGGACCTTATAAGGTCATCTAGTACACCCTCCTCTATTTTACAGATGGGTAAATTTAGTCTATGGAAGGTAAAGTGAGGCTCAAGGTCACATGGGTAGGGTAAACAGTGGAGCTGAGTGCAAACCTAAGTTACCTCTCATAGACTGGGGGGGGAAGAAGAAAGAGAATCTGATCCCAGTGAACTATAAATGTAAGACAATCACAAAGTTATCTTCATTCCTGGGAGCTTAGTATACCAGGCAGACACAGATGTGTGTCAACAATACATCCAAGTAAAGGCACTTTTAAGAAAATCCACTTCCTGGTTTGGCTGAATTGTTTCCCCCCTTTTTATTGTTATAAGGGATCACATATGGGGGTGGGGAGTGGAGGAATGAGGAGGGAACAGTCAGAAATTAAAGAAATGCAGAAACAAAATGTAATTATGACACTGGAAAAAAAAAAGGAAAACCTCCTCTCAAACTTCTGGATATGTCATTCAAAATGTCTAAAACCAAGGTATTTTCATCCTCACTAAAAAAAAAAGTGTTTGGGTAGAGTGCGTCCAGTTATCTATGGGGCCTGAGTAAACTAGTCCCTCTCCTTCCCCTACCCCAAGCTCTAGTTTTCAGAGAGAGGGACAATAGGAAAAATATTTTGAAAGCAAATCTCCACAAAGTAGTTAAGGAACTATTTTAAAAGCCTTCTGACCAGATGATTGGGAATTACTTGGCGGGGGTGGGGGGTGGGGGGTAGGGGGTAGGGGGTGGGGGTGGTTCCTTTCTGGAAATATAATGTCTACAACAAATTTGTGGATAAAGTAGGGCTGGTGAGTTACACATTGGATAGAGCAGTGGGCCTGAAGTCGGACCTGAGTTCAAATGTGACCACAGATACTTCCTAGCTCTGTGACCCTGGGAAAGTTCCTGAATCTGTTTGCTTCCATTTCCTTGTAAAATGGATAATAATGACACCTACCTCCCAGGATTGTTGTAAGGATCAGATGATATAATTGTAAAACTCTTAGCATAGTGCCTGGCATATGGTGAGCGCTATATAAGTTGATAGAAAGGGCCTTTGACTGGCAGTCAAACCTAGATTCAAGCCCCAGCTCTGTTGAATGTTGGGTAAGTAGTGTCTCCAATTTGGGTCTCAGTTTTCTTTTCCATAAAAGGAGGGGTGGAGCTGTGTGAGATGCAAGATCAGGTCACGTCTTGTTCTAACACAATAATTAAAAAATTCTTCATTCTGCAAATGGTAGGAACTGCCACTTTAGCTAAAGAATATTTCATGGTTTCATCTGGTGAATCTCAAGCCACAGATTTTTCCCCCTGCCTTTTTCATTCTTTACTTTAGTCAGTCAGCCAAGCATTTATTAAGTACTTATTGTATGCCAGGCAGTGTACTAAGTGCCGAGAATACAAAGCAAGGCCAAAGACATTCCCTGCTCTCCAGTAGTCTAATGGAGGAAGACATCATGAAAACAACTTTATACAAACTATGTACAGATAAATTGGAGATAATCAAAGAGGGAAGGCACTAGCAGTAAAGTAGATCAGCAAAGACTTCTCATAGGGATTTTAGCTGAGACTTGAAGGAAGCTGAGGAGGGCAGAAGGTGGTAATGAGGAGAGTGAGTATCCCAGGCATGGGGAATAGCCAGGGAAAATGTCCAGAGCCAGGAGAACGAGTGGCTTGTTCAATCATCAGCAAGGAGGCTGATGTCCTCGGGTGTGATTTCAAAATTTTTTTTCGTGAGCAACATTTTTATAGGAAGTGAATATACTATTTCCAGGGTGAAGTTTCAGTGTCTAAGTTCTCTGATCATGTCCTTGGGTATACAGTTCGTTTAACTTCTTGCAAAAAAAAAAAAAAACAAACAAACAAAACAAAAAACTTTCTCTACTTCTGGCTGAAACCTCATTAAGGTTCTGACTTGAAATTCCAAAAAAGTTACTCTAATTGGTGTTGTCTCTGAACTCTATTAAGATGATGAGTAGTCAGTATCCTAGCAATAGAAAAAGATAACAGATGGGTAGCCCAAGTATTTCACTGATATCCAGAAGGCCTCCAAATTGGTGGGGTAGATCCCCCTTGGAAGATTTATGGCATAGTACCTCTATGCTGGAATGGAAGGAAATAAGAGACTGTAATGTATAAAAGTGGAGGAAGTACCCACACCCTGAAAACAGAGATCCGCTAAGCATCGAAGTATCAAATATTAAGATGTATATTCTTGGGAATAATAAATATCACCTTTAGAAAATGGACTTTTTGTAGGATGAAACTGATCATTTCACCATCCTGGCCAGTTACCACTAACACCAGCTGCTCACTGTCACCAACACAGTGGGCAAGCTAGTCTACTGAAACAACAAGACACTTTGAGAGAGGAGGTGGCATGTGCCACACAGGTCAAATCATAGCCAACACCTCTGCTTTGGCCCTGCTGGAGGTAGCCCAGACCCCTGGGAAAAGCAGCATCCACAATCCAGGGAAGCCCCTCTTATGTAGATGGCACCTGTCAACTTCCTCTGTACTGTCTGCTGCACCCTCTGACCCTTCAGTAGCTGTAATTACTTAAGACTGGGGAAGGAAAGTTTGTGCCACTTTAATCTCTGGCACTGACAAACTGTTCCACATTAAAGACCAACAAAATTTTATTGATGGAAAATTAGAAGATTCAAAGAAGATGCATTATCCCCCGCTTTGCTGCTGCATCCTGAGAACCACTGGGCCTCTCCATCTGACTTGCAGCTGTGAAAGGGAGGTTTTAGAATGCAGGGACATTCTTGGTTTTGTATTTGTATCCTCAGCACTTAGCCCCATATTTTGCACATAGTAAAAGCATAATAAATATTTTTTCATTAATTAATTGATCAATCACTGATACAATCTCAATCACAATGCTTTCTTTGAAAGAAATGCTGAATGTGTAACATTCCCCCGACAAGAGAGGGAATTTGATTTCTGATAGACAGAATGCTTCTTTACATAGACTCGGGGGCAGTTTTACATCACTGGAAAAATTTGGAAAAGAATCTTCAAATCCTGTTCATTGAAATATGCTGAGGGTAGGGGGATACACAGGAGACATATGTAGATATTTGATGAGAATTCACAGATATTCTATGATAGTTTCTCATCTGCTTACTACGTGGTAAAGAAAAAACCTTTTTAACTAGTCAGTTAGTGTGGGACGTCTGTCATCTGCCATTAAGTTATTCTTAATCAAGGATTCTCAAGGACAAATTAAAAAACTCAAATTACAACACTTTAAAAAACAGATCAAATGATCTAGAAGTGGATAGTGGCTTTTCTTTGCCTCTTCACAGTCGAAGGATCAGAGGATCCATCTCACCCGGTGGAAAAGACACAACTCAGTGCACAAACCATATCATTCAAGGGGTAATTCTCAATATGAAACATAAACCAAAAAAAGTATAATCGTGGAGGAAAAGTACACTGTCTGTGGGTGCTTGTATATCTAAACAAGTATTTTCTGGACAGCAGCCCCTGTTGGGGGGGTGCGTTTTACTTATGTAGAAGCATTTCTTTTTTTTTTTAATGTCTTTTTGGTTGGGCAATGGGGGTTAAGTGACCTGCCCAGGGTCACACAGCTAGTAAGTGTTATCTGTCTGAGGCCAGATTTGAACTTAGGTCTTCCTGACTCCAGAGCCAGTGCTCTATCCACTGCACCACCTAGCTGCCCCTGCAGAAGCATTTCTATTAACCTCTTCCTCTAGACACCATCTTTTAATTTAAAAAATAAAAATCATTAACAGCAAAATCAGATACAAATTTATGGGCTTAAATGGGAGGTTTTTTCAATGTAAGCTTCTTGAGAGCAGGGGCCATTTTACTCTTTCTATTTGTATCCCCAACATCTCACATAGCTCCAGGCACACAACAGGTACTTAATAAATACTTTCGGTGATTGATTACTTCTGGGTCCATTCCTGGAAACAACTCGCAGTGGTCACCTGGTTTCCTTCCACTTGGAAAACACATTCTATTCTTTAGTTGCAATAACTCAACTTCTTAACCAAACAATTGGAGGCCTCCAATCTTTTTTGTTGTTGTTGTTGTTTTTTGTTTGGAGGCCTCCAATCTTATGCATTTACCTATCCAAGAATGACAAAACAATTTTTAAAAATGAAAACTACTAACTTGGCAAAACTACAGTGTAGTTGTACTGTTTAAGAAAAAAGTAGAATTTTAATATTTAGAAATATTTAGATATTTAATATTTAGAGCTAGAATGAGCCTTAGAGACCTAGTCTAATCTTTTCACTTTACAGATAAGAAAACAGAAACTGGGGGTTCAGGGGTGGTGGCACTGGGGAGGAGGCAAATGACTTACCCACAAGTCACACCAATTTGTTCTGATTTGTCAAACCTCAGGTAACTATTTTAAAACTTTCAGTGAATATTTCATATATGTATACACACACACACACACATACACACACACATAAACACACATGTGTGTGCACGTACACACATGTTGTACATGTATGTGTGCCTATATGTGGATATATTCCTGTGTGAGTTCACATGTATATATGCACATGTATGTCACATGTTAGATTTCCTCAGTGACTGTAGATATGTTATAACATATAAAGTCATATCTTATCATTGGGTAGAAAAATTAAATTTCTTATGCTCTTCTAATGGATACTTGAGAATGCTCTAGTCAATGGAATTACTGGAATCACAGGAATCTTAAGCTAGAAGGGATTTTGGAGTTCATCTAACCCATCAGTTCTCAAACTTTTGATCTCAGGACCCTTTTACACTTAAAAATTGAGCCTCCCCTCCCAACCTACCCACCAAGATCTTTTGTTTATGTAGATTATAATTACCTCTCCAGAAAAAAAAAAGAAATGTACACACTACACATTTTTGAGTTTAATTTGCATTATCAACATTTTCTCCATTACTTTCTTAACTCTAGATAATCAACAAAACAATAAATCAATCTCTGATTTGTAGCATTTATTGATTCCCAAGATTTAAGTGGTCACACTGGAAATTTAACGTAAGCTCTTGAGAGCTGATTTGAGCTGGCTCCAGCACCTCACTGGTTATATCTATTGATATTTGCTCTATTTGAAATTAAAATGTTTTAGTATTATTATGAAAATAGTTTTGAATTCAGAGATCCCCTGAAAGGGTCTTGAGGACTCCAGGAGTCCCAGGACCACGAATTAAAAACCACTGATATAAGCTAACCCCTTCATTTTACTGAGGAAACTAAGGCCCAAAATGCCCTGCCAGAGGGTATGTAGATTTAAGTTGTAGAGCCAGGATCTGACCTTTGCTCTTTTGACTCGAAATCCAGTGGTCCCAAACTGATTTCTATTTTCCTAATAACAGTAGTTTACATTTGTACAACATTTCATAAACCATATTTCTGTTTTTTTTAAAAGTACAAATAACCCTCCCAATTATCTTACCACAAAATGCCCACAGAGGTTTCCCACAATTTAAATGTCAAAAGATGTTATTTATAATCTCATGAATGTTAAAAAAAAAGATTCTGAAAGTTGTCAATTAAATTTTGTTGCTTTAACACTAGGTACTGAACAATCTATCTATCCCAAGGATTTGCTTGGGGAAATGTTGAGAGAGAAAATGGAGAGTTTTCAGTGTGCCCCTAAATTATACAACACATTATTCAAAGGGCATAGGTGAGGAATTCTTTAAAAAGGGATCAACTGGGACACATTATACAGTAATTGTGGTGGTCTGGCATTATCCTAAAACTAATCTCCAATTGCCTAAGAAATAATGAATAATTAGCAAGGACTGAGTTGGCTCTTCTTGAATAGTTCTTCACCTTTGACAAGACAATATATTCTGGCTGGAAAACAGGGAGAGAAAAAAGTTTACTTGGTTGAACCTTATTTTCCCTTTTCCACAGCAGGCCTAGCACTTATTTCTAAAGTTAATATAAGTCCAAATTCTGAATGTAGAGCTTTGACCAGTCATATATGAGACCATGGAATCATCATATACTCATCAATCCTCCACACATCTCATATTAATATCATACCATATTGAAAGCAACACCCACTTGAACAACCATGGCATTTGACATAAAAAAGTGTTGGCATGCCAACAGGATGGGTGGGTTCTCATGTCTCATGACTTCACAGTATTTGGCCGTTTCATATTTCAAAAAGGATGCAAAAGACAACTTAGTATTTTCATATACTTATTTTATGTTCTGTGGTTGAGCTGGGACCCAGACTCCCTCCTTCCTTTGGCAGCCTTCCAGGGGAAACTGTCTATGGCTATAACCTGAGGAAAAACACTGAATTTTGACCAAAATTAACACTACCTCTCAAATAGATTATTCTTAACAGAAGTATGGGATACAATGAGAGAATTATGAAGAATCCAAGAACAAGCAAAAGTATCATGGTCAACCAAGTGTACTGGGAAGAAACGTTGATCCTTCAGCAGGCCCCATTAGCTGTTTTCACCTTTGTTGGCCCATATCATCACTTATACCTTGTCTTGCCAGATCTCAGCCAGAGGAAGAATAACAACAACATTGGTTGACTGAGTAAAGTTTCTTTTGTGGGGAAAAAAAAAGCACACAGACATAAAGCTTTGTTAGAGGTAAAGTCAGCCCATAGTCTTTTGCAAACTCTACTTCTCTCAGAGCAGGAAACTGATGAGTGCTGAAAGGATATCTCAATGCAGAGGTCACAGAACCAACAGTCCAGTGAATACTCAAGGTGTTAGGACCTGGAGTGGAGTTCTACCATTCTCACTAAACATGGTTATGGTACCACTGGTCCCTGGTCTTGTTGAACTTATTTCAGCAGGCTAAATACATACTATCTTGTAGAACAACTTGAAGGTCTGCCATGCCTGGAAGGCTCCAGATAAGCCAACTCCACAGAAGTATGACTGATACACTGCTGTCTCTCAAGACAAAGAAACTTCCTGGTTCTGGACACACGAGCCCCTTTCCCTCCTTTCTAGCTGGGCTGTGCCTGGTTACACATCGGAGGTCCGTATATGCTCATCATCCAGGTTGTACATAAATGGTTTCTCTTTGGGCTGTTGGGGCTCTGATCGATGCCGTACCCGAGAACTTGACAGCAGGGTGGCATCACTTTCCCCACGTCTGGACATGAAGGGGGAGCCTCCAGGAGTCTCTTCATCCAGAAGCAGCTTTTCATCTGCCTGTGGGACAGGTGTCCAGGGCTGCCAGGATGAAGCAATGAAGGGAGCTTTGCAGGGAGCTTTCCTCTCTTCCCCAGGTGGCCGTCCTCTGCATGGGGTGGAGTTGGACACACCTGAGAAATTGGAGCTTCCAGGCCGGGACAATGAAACTGATCTAGAGAAAGACATTTCCTGGAGTAGAAGGGGGGGGAAATAACAAATAAATATGGGCAATATCATGAGTCATGATATTCAATTTGACAAACATCTCTTTATTAAGCACTTATACATGGCACCATGCTAGACGCTAGAGATAAGAGGACTGATACAAAATAGACCCTGTTTACAAGAAGAATATGATTAATATGATATAATATGGTAATGTAATAGTATATAATGATAAGACATATATACAAATAAGTATAATAGAAAACAGTGTGATTGACAGAGACAAAGAAGATGGCTACATAAAGTGCTCTGGGAGAATCTAAGAAGGGAAAAGAGCATTTTCAGTTGGGGCAATCAGCACAGACTTCATGGGGAAAATGGCACCTAAGGTAGGCCTCGAAGGGAAAAAGATTCTTTTTGTTTTTTCTTTTAACTTTTTGTTCTTGAATTAGACTTAACAAGTACTAAACAGAATGGGTTTGAAGGTACACAGTAGAACAGAAAAAGAGAATTGTACACATAGTAGAATAGGAAAGGAGAGCTAAACAGGAAATTGTGGGTGTCACATAGTTTGTTTTTCTTTTTGAGTATATAGAGTGTCTCCAAAGTCTTAGTGTAGTTTAAGCTTATTAAAGCTTATTAAGCTTATTAAAGTTTAAACTGCACTAAGACTTTAGGGACACCGTATAATAAAATTGACTTGTAGCTTTCAAAGTTGTTCTTGTCTGGCCTTCTTTCTGTTCTTTTTTCTCCAATTTTTTTTTGGGGGGGGGGAAGGATACCTCAATGTCTTGAAAAAGAGGATTCCAACTGGCAAAGATGAGGAGGGAAAGCAAGAGTGTGCTGGAGCCGGCTCCCACTAGCCAAATGTTAAATGTTCAGTATGAGCATTTACCTTGCAGGGAATTGACAAACTCTGCCAACCTGAGCTCCATTTGTCATTTTGTTGATTGTCTAGACTTAAGAAAGTGTGAAAAATGCAGATTCAGCCCTCAACCACACTTTTTTTTTTTTTTTGAGAACCTGTTAAACATTTACCAGTACACCCCTGAAGGAGAGTATACCAATTGTGGATGGCAGCTTCAATGAATGCACAGAGAGGGCAGGACACGATTGTGAAGAAGCTAGTGCTCCAGGCTGCCTGAGACACACAATGTGTGAAATCAGGATGGAAAAAGGTTAAAACCAGATTCCTGAAGGCCTTAAATTCCAGGCTCACATCACAGGAATTAGAGTTGGATGGGACTTGGGAGAGGAACTAGTTGGGTCCTCCCATTTTGCAGATGATGAAACTGAGGCTGGGAAAAATTAAATGACTAGTAATAGATTCTTCATAGTTTAAATTCAATGCTTTTCCCACTGTACCGAATTTTCTTTGTGCAATGTTTTCCAATCCCCAGGAAAAGTACCTCTCCCCAACATCTCTATTTTATAACTCCAGGCATCCTCCCAATGTAAACACTGACAAACAGCAGCATCTCAAGTCTGAATCCAGAACTGTATTTTGATTTCAGTAGCAGGTAGGTTTTCTGAAGAATACAGCATAAACATTACATCTTCCATTTCCCCCAGCTCTCCATAACTACTCCAACCTCTTCCTTCAAAAAAAAATCACCCCAAAAAACGCCCAAACAAAAAAACCTGCATCCAGACCAATGAAGAAACAAATAAAAAAGAGAAAACATTCTAATGCTACAGCTGCATCCTGGACACAGGCTGCCTGCCTGTCCCCATCTTCCAATAAGACATGCCCACTCAGTAAGCATGATCTTTAATTGGTATTAACTGTGTAAAAGAAAGGATGTGACTTACTTTAGGATGACACTTGAGAGCCTGGACAGCTGCACCAATCTCCTTGATCCAGCTGTGCATGTCTTCTGGGCTGTCCGCCTGGAAAACATTTATATATGTCATATGGAAGTGCTTAGGAACACAGTTTCTGTCCATTTGTAAGCCTCTTATTTGACCTTGGAAGTTCACAGATTCATGGAAGCTTAGAGGTGGGAAGGGACCTTTGGATCACAAGATTTAGAACTGGAGGGACCTTAGAAATCACCTAACTCAGCAGGTTCTTATCTTGGTATCAGTGAATGTAAAAAATATTTTTGATAACTATATTTCTTTGTAATTAAAATTTTTTGAATAAATGAAAGTCTGTTTTCTCTGCCTCTTATTTCTCCCTTCAACTGAGAAAACAAGAAAAACAAATTCCCTATAACAAGCATGTATAGTTGAGCAAAACAAAATCCCTTATTAGCCATGTACAATATATTTATATATATATATATATATATATGTATCTCAGTCTGCTGAACTCATCACTTCTCTATCTGTAGGTGAGTTAAATAACACCATAAAGTATCATTTTAAAAAATGGAAAAAATTATACCAAATGATACCTGCCAATGCCCACAAGGGGGCAGCTGGAAGCTCAGTGAAGAGAGGAAGGAAGCAAGCTATCTACCCACCCTGACTGCCGTACCATCTTTTGCCACCTGAACAACCATGAGCAAATCTGGGCCTCAGTTTCTTCATCTGTAAAATGAAAAGACTAAGATAGTTGATTTCTAAGGTCCTTTCTAGCTCTGAATCCTAGGTAAGTTTTCTATGACCAACCCCCTCTAATAGAATGTCATCAAATCAAGCAAATCATGATCATTGTCCAAAGACAATAGGAATATTTCCTTGAGGCCTCATTTCCATGCCCCTGTAGGTTTAGAACTGAAACAGACCTCAGGGGCCATTAGTCCAAAAGCATTATTTTATAGATGTGGCACCTATCAGGTTGGCTAACATGACAAAACAGGAAAATGATAAATGTTGGAGAAGATGTGGGAAAATTGGAACACTAATGCATTGTTGGTGGAGTTGTGAACTGATCCAACCATTCTGGACAGCAATTTGGAACTATGCCCAAAGGGCTATAAAAATGTGCCAACCCTTTGACCCAGCAATAGCATTTTTAGGTCTGTATCCCAAAGAGATTGTACAAATGGGAAAAGAACTCATATGTGCAAAAATATTTATAGCGGTTCTTTTTGTGGTGGCAAAGAATTGGAAATTGAGGGGAAGTCCATCAATTGGGGAATGGCTGAACAAGTTGTGGTATATGAATGTAATGGAATACTGTTGTGCTATAAGAAATGATGAGAAGGCAGACTTCAGAAAAACCTGGAAAGACTTGTATGGACTGATGCTGAGTGAAGTGAGCAGAACCAGGAGAATGTTGTACATAGTAACAGCCAAATTGTGCGATGACTGACTTTGATAAACTTAGCTCTTCTCAGCAATACAAGGATCTACGACAACTCCAAAAGACTCATGATGGAAAAGGCTATCCACGTCCAGAAAAAGAACTTTGGAGTCTATATGCAGATGGAAGCATACCATTTGCTCTCCTTTTCTTTTGTTGTTTTGTTTTGTTTCTTCTTTCTCATGGTTCCTCCCATTAGTTCTAATTCTTCTTTACATTATGACTAATGTGAAAACATGTTTAATATGAATGTATAAGTAGAGCCTATATCAGATTGCATGCTGTCTTGGGGTGGGGAGATGGGAAGGGAGAGAGGAGGAGAAAATTTAAAACTCAAAATCTTATGGAATTGAATTTGAAAACTAAAAATAAATTAATTTTAAAAATTTTATAGATGAGGAACTCAGGCCCAGAGAAGTCAAATCACTCGCCCAAGATCACACAGATTGTAAACATCTGAGTCAGGATTTGAATCCAGGGTCCACTGACTCCAGAACTCATTCTTTTTTCACTGTGCTAGAAGAACCATCGAGATGGCCAAATTCAACTCTTTTTTTTTTTTTTTGTAAAGAGATGAGGAAATGGAGGCCTAGAGAGATTGACTCACTCACCCAAAGTCATGCAGCCAGTAAATGGCAGTAAATGACTACAGCACAGGCCTCCTGACTCCCTCTCTAGTGACTTTTCCCACTATACCATTAACCTAGCGCCAAGTTGTCCTGCATTCCCACTTCCTGATTGTTTTGTAGTCCATTGCCAATTGGGGCCATTTCTACCCACAGATTAAATTCATCTTGGTACTAAGAAAAAAAAAAGGTAGTAGTAGAGTACTTCCAGAGAACACGTAAAAGAGTACAACTGTTCAACATAATCTTTGGGCTTATGGACTAGCAGAGTAAGGGATGATTTTCAATTGGGGGTTCACCCCCAATTTCAAGTTCTATGGTGCTTAAAATTCCACTTTTAGAGATATATTCATTTGGGCTAAATGTTGCCCTCTCAGTATGATCCCCATTTTGAAAAGCCAATTAGTAGAATACATTAAATTTCTAACATCTCAACATGAATGAGTTGATCATAGTCTTTATCTCTAGAACAGCATAGCTAGGTCCCAATTAGTGCAAATAATGAATCCCATAAAGTGGCTGTATATATTCTAATTTGCCCTATCTGGAATTATAATTATTTATATAATATCATACATATTGTTATATATAATATTATCATGTTGTATATAATATAATCATATAATATATGTAACATAAATGTATAATGTTATATATAATACATGTATGTAATTATAAATATAATATTAAAATAAAGTATATAAATTATATGTAAGATGATAGCTGAGATTTATATAAGCTTTAAGGATCGAAAAAGCATATTACATATCTCATTTGATCCTTACAGTGGTCCTATGAGGTAGGCGATCATCCCCATTTTACCAATGAGGAAACTGAGGCAGAGAAAAGTGAAGCGATTTGCCCAGAGTTGTACAGCTAGCAAAGAGTCTGAAGAGGACGTAGAGAAGCAAACACAATAGCTGAGATGAGGTCTTAGTAGGTCTAGTGATGTCTGACAGTGGGATGATCACCTCCCTCATTAGGGACATTAGGCCTCTTATATAATGTGGTTTAAGATTGTGTTAACTTTTAGGCTTATGCAGTTGGCTCTCGCTTACAGCCCACTAAAACACCAAGATCCTTCTTCACAGTTAATTATTGTCTAGTCACAATTCTCTCATCCTGTACTTGTACAGTTGATTTTCAGAATTGTACAATCAGGCAATAACATTTATCCTTATTAAATCTTAACATAGCAGATCAAGCCCATTATTTTAGCCTATCAAAATCTTTTTGGATTCTGAATTCGCCACCCAACATGTTAGTGATTTCTTTGAGCTCCCGGAGGGATAATTTGGTAGGCATGCCATCTCTGCTACCATCTAGGTCACAGATAAAAAGGAACCAGATCAAGAATAGAGCTTGCATTAGACTGATTTTTAAACTTGTCTTATCCTCCAAATAGACTGTAAAGTCCATGAGGGCAGGACCATGAAACATCTAAACACCCAATGTTTAGCTATTTAAACACACAGTATTAAAATACTGAGTTGTACTATATATATATATATATATATATATATATATATAATATATATATACATACACATACACACACATATATGTATATGTAATATAGACATTACAATGTAATATGTATACATAATGTGTATATATGTACCTATGTATATGTATACATATGTATAACTACTAATTAATACTAATGAATACTAACAATATACTGACATAGTACTTTAACATTTACGAAGCACATTCCATATATTATGACTTAAAACTCACAACAGCCCTGCAAAGTAGATACACTACAGGCATTATTATCCTCAATTTACACATAAAGAAATTGAAACTCAGATTTGACAAATGGAACTCAAATTGTGACTTGTTGGCAAGTGTCAGCAGTGAGAGGTGAAGCCAGGTCTTCCTGATTCCGGCATTCTTTTCTATAAGGTTATGCTGTGTCTCCTATACTAAGAACTCAAAAAATTTGCAAGTAAACTCTTGATATTCAAAGTCTTGTGGGAAGACGGGGTGAGAAGGCTGACAAAGCTCAGACACCGTAATGGCAGAATGAACAAGCATCAGATGCATTTCTTTCTCTACAGGATTCCAAAAAATCTCACATTAGAATGTGGTTGGAAAATAGCTGGATGTGTTATGGCTTGATCATTTCATAGAATATGGTGCCATGAAAGATGATAAATACAAATAGAGAGAAATAGAGTAAAACCCATATGAAGTAATGCAAAGCAATAAAAACAGAATCAAAACCACAATTATACATGAAAAAAAGAAAACAAAACCAAAGGTTCCCTGGCCTCAGGTGGATATGGAAAGAGACCACAGCAAAAACACATTGCATGCTTATTTTGGTTTTGTTTTTTTTCTGTTGATGTGCTTGGTTCTGCTTGATAAAACTAAGGGCTTTATGTAAGATGTTTGTCCTTATTTTGTTAAGTTTACTTTAAGCTTTAAAGTTTGCAAAGCATATTACATATCTCATTTGATCCTTACAATGGTCCTGTGAGGACCTATTTTACCAATGAGGAAACTGAGGTAGAGAGAGGTTAAGTGACTTGCCCAGAGTTGCATCACTACATTCTGAAGAGGTCACAAAGAAGCAAATAATAATTTTTAAAATAACTTTAAGAAAATAAATTAAAATATAAACAACTTTAAAATAATTTAAAAAAATAATTAGTAAGCTTACAAAAGTTTTTAAAAATTAAAGTGAAATAAATGTTTCTTGAATTGAACAGGTAGCTATCACACTTCTTGCCTTAAATAACAAGCATTTTTAAGGTATTTGATTTCTTTGCATCATCCTTCACCCTGTGCTTTTTCTTCTTTGAAACGAAAAAAAAAACTCTTGCTGATTTTCTCTCAGTCAGCAAATACATATGTACATGCATACATATGTGTAAATATACATACATACACACATACACACATACACACATACATATAACTAAATTAGCTCAACTCACTAAGAAAAGCCTACGGGGTCCCTGACCTGCCTGCTTTGTGCAGGTAGAAAAGAACAATGATCGTACCTACTATGAAAGCAGGCCTGGAAACGTCTGGGTGCCAATGAAAGTTGAGTGGGTCCCTAGTTTGTCTTATGAGGGCATTTGGAGAGAAGGGATGGGAGCCAGGCTATGGAGGAAGGGAGGCTTTGAAAAGTTTGCTCTGAGGTCCCAGAATACACAACCAAATTCACACATAGAGATGCTGCATTGGAAAATTGTCCCCATTGTGAAAGATACACAATAATTTCTGTCAGTATGGGAAATGGTCATAATAATAATTGTTGGCATTGATAAAGCACTTTAAGATGAACAAAACACTTTATATACATTATCCCATTTGAGTTTCAACAACCTCACGAGGAAGGTTCCTCAAGTATTATGATGTCCATTTTACAGATAGAAACTATAGCTCAGAAAGATGAAGTGACTTGCTCTAAGTCACACAGTTATAACATGTAATGAGGAGAGAATCTGACCTCCTGTCTTCCGAGTTTGAGTCCAGGGCTATGTCCACTATGCCACATGATCTCACATACTAGAGATCAATGGGCTAACAGTAGTCGGAGGCTTACGCCTGAAAGCACAGGCCCTGGATAGAAGGCTGTTTTTCCAAAGGCCAGTGCCAGGCAGGAATTTGCAGCTCCTGTGACTGTAGCAGGAGATGGGAAGGAGCCAATGCTGTGGGTGGAGACGGGGAACCCCTGGCTGAACAGCAAGTGCCCAGACAATGGCTTTCTCTGTGCAGCTGGGCTGTGCACCTGGCCCTGAAACAGGGCACTCTGGGCTTCTGCCCTTCCATTTAGATGTAACGTCCACATACAGAGCTATGGTTAAAAATAAACCAGATAGGAGAAGTGAAATCACTGGCCAGTTCTCCTTTTTCTCTGCTTAGCTAGAATCCAGTGGCTGACATCAGCTGAATACAAACTCACATTCCCCAGTACAGTGGCTCAGCCTGTTTTTATTTTTGTATGGTTGGGAAGTTTGGGGCAAACATCCTGTTAGATAATGGGACTTAGAATAACTGTCAGGTGCTAGATTTACTGTTTAGATCCCTTAGAACTCAAAAAGAGAAAGCAGAGAAAAGAATGAGGTTTATTAATTGTTCACTCACAGTCGTAAGACATTAAAACACTACTAAATGACATCTTACCTGAATATAGAAGGTCCGAGAGCTTGTTATTATTTCAAACAGGTTGTCTCTCATTAAGAGCTCTCTAGATATAAAGACAGAGAACAAAGAATTTAACAAAAAAAATGCTGGAATAACTACAGAAGACTTAGATTCTCTCTTGGATATTCATGACCCTGGTGATCATTATCTCCCATCAGCCATCTCTTGAAAAGATGGAATGTTAAAAAATACTTGAGACAAAAATTTCAAACACCATTTTACCCTACCAATCAGGATTTTAAATAACAAGGGTTCTTAACCTTTCTTGTTCATGAACGCTTTAGTAAGTCTGGTGAAACCTCAAGACCCCTACATATTGTTGTCTACATTAAAAAATGAAGGAAATGCTAAATTTCAGTGACAGGTTAGTGAAAATAAAGATGTAATTTTTTTTCTGCCCAAGTTCCCCTCAAATGGGTTAGTGGACCCCAGGTTAAGAGTCCTTGCTCTTGAGAATTGACTCTCAAGCTTTACCATCCTGAGACTACCCTGGACCTACAATTTTCTTACTTTTCTTCAAATTTCATTTTTTAAAAAAATATGAATTTAACAAACATCAACAACACGAACATGTCCTTATACAAAGAACAGAAAAAGAGGACAGTGTATTTGACTGAGGGGTAGCTCGGTGGCATAGTGGATAATGTGCTGGGCCTGGAGTCAGGAAGACTCATCTTCCTGAGTTCAAATCTGGCCTCAGACACTTAGTATCTTTGCCAAGAAAACCCCAAATACGGTCACAAAGAATTAGACACAACCAAAATGCCTGAACAACAATAAAATATTTGACTGCAAAACTTTACTATGTATGGTTTGGTTTTGGTTTTTGTACATTTCAGATTTTGTACATTTCACAGTCCAGTACTTCCAACATGGCTCTGTTTTTCTGTGTCCCCTTTTGAATTTCCTTCTGCCTTCTTTGGTATAGTTTTTAACTATTTTAGAGAAGTGCCTTTCTTTGTTTTATTTTTGCATCTCTCATTAACACCCTCTTCATTCCTCATTGTCTCCCATCCCCCAAAGTCCTCTCTCTCTCTCTTTTTTTTTAACAACTATGGTGAAGCAAAAACAAGACCAAAAAAAAAAAAAACCAAAAAACAAAAAGCAAAAATAAAACCAAAACCAAAACCAAAACCAACAACCATGGATTAGTCATGTCTGAAAATGTATGGTGTGTTCTATGCCTACAGTCCTCTAACAAAAGATAGGACTCAAGCTTTATCAGCATTCTGCTAGTTGTGAGTGGTCATTGCATTCATCAAACATTCAGAGTTCTTTTCCTTTCAAATATTATAGTCACTTTATAAATTGTTCATCTGGTTCTTCTCACTTCATTCTTTATTAGTGCATACAAGTCTCCCCAGATTCCTCTGAATCTCCCTTCTTATAGTGTAATAATATACTATTACATTAGTATACTATAACTTGTTCAGCCATTCCCTCATTGACGGGCATTCCCATAGTTTCAATTCTATACTACACCAAAAAGTGCTACTATAAATATTTTTGTACATATTTACCCTTTCCCTTTGTCTTGGAACAACTTGGAGTGTATGTCTAGTAATGGTATTACCAGGTCAAGGGCAGGCACAGTTAGTGATTTTTGAGGTATAGTTCCAAATTGCTTTTAACTGTGGACAGACCAATTGAACCAACAGTACTTAAGTGTACTTATCCTTGCACAGCCTCTTCTACAATTTCAATCTTCCTTTTCAGTCGTCATTGCAAATCTGATTGGTGTGAAATGGAACCTCAGAGTCGTTTTAATTTGCATTTCTCTTATTATTAGTGATGTGGAGTATTTTCAATATGGTTTTGGGATTTCTTGAGAATGGATTGTTCATATCACTCCACCATTTATCTATTGGGAAATGGTTCTTGGTCTTACATGTTTATGTCAGTTCCCTATTTATCTTGAATTTCAAAGTTGTTTGTTTTTTTTTTTTAAAGCAAAGGAGTGTGCAAAGATTTCCCTTAAAATCACTGTTTACCTTCTAATTCTAACTGTACTAATTTTATTTTGCAAAAATGTCATCAAAGCTGTTAATATGATTTCCTCTGATCCGTTCTGTCCCTACTTTGGTCAAGAACTTTCCTGTTTCCGTAGTTGTGAAAAACATTTCCCCCTATTCTCCTCTAATTTGTTTAATGAAACATGACTTTCTGTATCTAGGTCAGGAATCCATTTGGAGCTTGCTGCGGTATATAGCCACAGATGCTAGTCTAAAGCTAATTTCTGTCAAACTGCTTTCTAACTTTGTTAGGAGTTATTGTTGTTTGTCAAATAGTAAATCCTGTGTCAATAGTTGTTATACTTGGGTTTATGAAAAGCTATGCTACTGTGTTTGATTGTTCTGGGTCTTATGTACCTACCTACTCTGTTCCACTGATTAGCTTTCCAATTTTTTAATCAATTCTAAAAAGTTTTGATAGCTGCTGCTTTGTAGTACAGTTTAAGATCTGATAGTGCTAGGTGTCCTTCCTTCCCTCTTTTTTTCACCATTTCCCTTGAGATTCTTGGCTACCCATTAATTAATTAATTTTCAACTTATACACCCAAGTAATTTACACTCTTCTCATCCACCTCTGCTTCCTACAGCTTGTCACATCTTCATGATCCTTAGTATGGATATCAATGCAATTTAAGCCCTCGCCCACCTCAACTCAACAATTCAGTCATCCTGCCTCAGAATAAAGCTCTGCAAAACTCTAGACCGTCCTGTATTCAGCCTTGTTTTCTCTTAAATATCTAATCCCTTTCAGTGTCGTTGATTCAGTTATTCAACATGTTGTTTCTTAAACATCTAACTATGGGTTTAATAGGGGCAGCTAGGTGGTACAGTGGATAGAGTACAAGACCTGGAGTCAGGAGGATTCATCTTCCTGAGCTCAAATCTGACCTCAAACACTTCTTAGCTTCATGACTCTAAGCAAGTCACTTCACCCTGTTTGCCTCAGTTTCATTATCTGTAAAGTGAGCTGGAAAAGAAAATGGTAAAACCACTCCAGTATCTTTGCCAAAAAAAAAAAACCAAAACCTCAAATGGGGTCACAGAGTCAGACACAACTGAAAAATGACTAACAGCAACAAAATGTGCTTAATGACTATGCTATAGTTCAACAACTGTGCTAGGCAAATGAGAAAGTGAGAAAAATCTGAAGAAGAGGCAAAGGAAGGCATGAGGCCTTCTTTCACCCATCTTCACTTCATGCAGCTCATTACATTAGGATGATGGGCTTATATGAGCTTATCCCATCAAATGGGCTGCAAACCAAAGAGAAAAAAGTCTCTGTCTCCATTTAGGGAGGAGAGGACTAACTCCTAAGTTCTAAGTCTTGAGGCATTACAGTTTAAAATCTCAGAGTCTGAAGAAAGTCAGAACATTCCTAGTTCAAAAAAATAACTAAACAGAAAAAAACTCCCCAAAACGAAGTCTCTACAACATTCCCAATAAGTAGTCTGATATCCTCTTGTACACTATTATTGATGGAACAGTTCATTTACCTATTGAAAAGCTCTAATCATTGGGAAAATTTTTATACATAAAGTTATTGACTAAATAAGGGATAGGGAGGATCAAAGGAGATATAATATTGGTAGCTTTGATGATATTTTTGCAAAATAAAATTAGTGCAGTTAGAATTAAAAGGGAAACAGTGACTAGAGGAAAATCTTTGCAGCAAAAAAAAAAAAAATTAATATCCAAGATATATAGGGAATTGACAAAATCTCCTTCTCTGCAATTTTCACCCATTGGTTCAAGTCAAATCAAATCCTACCAAGAAGCAATTTGAACTAATTATGAAGCATGATATTGTGAGCTCCTTGAGGGCTGTATATGTTTTGTAATATCTTGGTTCCTCAGAGGTCAGCGCAGTGGCCTACACATGAGAGGCACTCAGGAAATATTTATTGCACCAAATTTATGTTAAAAAGACTTAACTTTGGCTCTCAGGACACTTATAGGCTAGTTGGTAAGATAAGATTAATTAAATAATTATAAGGTAATCAATCAATAAATAGGTTCATAGGATCACAGACTAAGAACTCGAAGGGACTTCAGAAGTCTTCTAATACAACCTTCTCATTTCATACACTAAGGAAACTGAAGCCCAGAGAAGTTACTTGCCCAGGATCTCATAGCTGGTAAGTAGCTGAGCTGGTATCCAACACATGTCATCTGATTCCAAGCCCAGTAGCCCTCTTTACTGATCTGAATTGTTGAACTGAGTAAATCTAAGTGGGACAGTCTGGGTTACAAGCTAAATGCTTTAAGAATTCAGGAAAAAAAAGTGAGATCTGACAATTCCAAAGGATTAATGATGAAAAATGTTATTCACCTCCAGAGAGAGAACCGATGAACTCTGAGTGCAGACTGAAGCATATTGTTTCCTCTTTATTTTTCTTGATTTTTTTTCAACACAGCTTATGTGGAAATATGTTTTGTATGACTTTATACATATAACAGGTATCATATTTCCTGCCTTTCAATGGGAGTGGAGGGAAGGACAAAATTTGGAACTAGAAACAAATTTTTTTTTTTTGATGAGGCAATCAAGGTTAAGCGACTTGCCCAGGGTCACACAGCAAGTAAGTGTCAAATGTCTGAGGTCGGATTTGAGCTCAAGTCCTCCTGATTCTGAGGCCGGAGCTCGATCCACTGTACCACCTAGCTGCCCCCCAATTTTTTTTTAATTTAAAAAAAAGAAAAAAGAAAAAAGAGAAAGGCAAGATCAGTGTGGGTTAAAGTTGCTAGGGAAGATTTTGTGGAGAAAATTGGATTGGATCTGGGTCTTAAAGGCAGTTCCTGGGAATTGATGAGGAAATAAGAATGTTTCAGGCATGAGGTACAGCATAAGATTATAGCCATCTCTAGAGTAAAGTCCTTCATTGAGTAAGCTATGGGCAAGAGTTCCTCAAATAGATATTAAGCAAATGAAACTTGCATAGTCACTATCAGCCCATAAGTGAGAACCCCAAGATTCTTTGATTTAAAACCCTCCTACAGGCAAAGTGTCCTCAACTATAAAATGAGGATAATA